CCACCCCCCCACCCCGACTGGGAACAGGCTGAGAGACCCTCGATCTTCTGCCAGCGAGAAATAAAGAAAGAACGAGCGATGTACTGAAAAGGCTTGCCTCCATTTCAAAGCAGTATGGAGAGATAGGAGTTCCGGAAAAGACACTCTGGGCGTCGCCCTTTGCATAAAGTCAGAGACCTCATCCGCACCACAGAACACTAATGACAGATCCATGAGCGTCCACAAAACCACAAGGGCATGTGTGTTTTATAGTATGATAATGAACATTCAAATGCAAACAATTGCATTTTAGTCATTTTATATATTTGCAAAATGCGACATGATACCATTTGAAGGCTGACCCAGCTACCCTGTATACATATATACACATGCACATACTTCTCATTCATCAGCAAAAAACTGAACTCATTTTATCTGCATCCTGAGTATTAACTTGCAAAAATAGTACTTTATCCATAAACCAAACTGCAGCACTGCAAGGCTCTGGGCTCGCTGTCACCTGACACTGGGTAGGCATCATGGGAGACGGATGATTAAAACATGCAAATCACAAGTTTAAAGTCAAGACTTTATTCAGGATGCCTTAAAGATCGCACTTGGTATTGAAAGGCTGCTTTGTGCCAAGATGGCCTTGAATTACCTTTGAATCTGTCTGGGAGTTAACAGCCAGCAGGCTAATTCGCAGTGCTCCTGTGTGTGTGTGTTGTGATGCGAGCAGTAATGACACAGTCGCTGTATGTTGGGTAAGCCCTACAGCCTGACTCAGCATTCTGTGTAAACCCCCCCCCCCCAATCAAACACACACATTAAACATGGGCAGGAATTCCTGGACTCAGCACTGCCGATTAAGCCAAACACACACCCCAAAAAAAAAACTAAAAAAAAAACAGCAGCACAGAACCCAGGACAATAGGTCCATGAACCATCCAGAACGGCATGCTGGGAACACGTCTATACAGCTGGTGGTGGGGGGGTGGTGGGGGGGGGGCGTGGAAGATATTCGGAAACCTCTTTACAGCTGAAACACCGCAACACAGCTCCTGCTCGACCTCATACGGAGAAGCGAATGCTTCACGTCCGGATCTTTGCATAAAATATTTTCACATAAAATACAGACAGGGTGTAAATAAATGTCCGTACAGCACCGAAAAGCTGGCGTCCGGCCAAATGCTTTGTCCGTCATCTGAAGCCCTAGTGATTATTGCACATGCAAGATATAATATCGATATGATATCGTCCAGCCCTAGACAGCACTAAGTAGGATGACTCTCGATCTATGTTTAATACCAACATGCCGCGTGACGTACTACCTGTAAGAGCGGACTATGTGGCT